CTAGAAATCCTAGAAATTCTAGAAACCCTAGAAATCCTGGAAATCCTAGAAATCCTAGGAATCCTAGAAATCCTAGAAATCCTAGAAATCCTAGAAATCCCAGAAATCTCTGAAAAGTTTCCATAGCTCTTTTCGCGGTGTTTCAAAACAAAATGGTGTCCACGCTGTCGTCATCGCAGTTATTGAGTTCGTCCACTTTTTGCCTCTAACCTAAAAAATTTCATAAAGCATCGTTCCACGAAATATCCTTGACTCTATAGAATCTTGGATCGTATTGGTAACATTTGCACTTCGTAACCCGTGCAATTCCATCGTTTTATTTGTTGTGGACAGAAGTAAATATACGTTTGCACGTATCCCGATGTCGAAGAAGACACATGCGATGTTCCACACGCAAATATACCGTTCGGATAATGAAGGTTCTACCATTCGATACGAACGTCGTTAGCACAGTAACCCGAAGGATATGCATCGCAAAATAATGGGAACGGTGCAGATAGCGGTAAACCTTTAAAATACGAGTATCAGAAATCACTTTTTGTTGCAATTTTTATTGCCATTCTTTTAAAATTATTGAAGTAATTTGGTAAGACTAAAACTAAAACCATTGATAAAAATGAAACTAAAACTGTAACTGATGAGTTGGTAAAAATAAAATGAAAACTAAAATGTACGATTTGGTAAAATTAAAATTTATGATTCGTTAAAACGATTATTATGTTCATTTTAACAATACATTTTAAATATCAAGGATTACAATCATTGTGTTTATTTGCAAAAGGAAAAGTAATAGCTCAAATAATTCTTATTCAAGTGGCTGTAAGATGACCTACGATTAGAATGTTGCTGAACCGGTCTTATAGTCTCTAGAATCTCCTGTTTAATATTTCATATGGTTAATATGTACATAAAAATATAGACACTTCAGAGTTCTGTATATCTTAGAGTACATTGGTAAGGATTTTTGGTTGCCTTCAGAGGGAAACCATTACCTACGCAGAGGGCGCTACTTTCCATCGACCTTCATATTGGTTATACGAGTCGAATATTTTGAGTTTCAAATTAACTCTTTTGAGTCTCAAATTAAATCTCTCGAGTCCCAAATCAAGTCTTCTCAGTTTCAAATTAAATTTGTTGAATTTCAAGTTAAGTCTTCCGACTTTCAAGTAACTTCTTTGACTTGTAAATTATGTCGTTTGACTTTTAAGTCGAAGACTTAAAAGGACAGAAGGACAAAATGAAAGGACGAAACTTTGAAAGGACAAAATACAAGAACTTCGCAATTATTTTATGTAATACATTCAAGACAAAATGTATAGTTAACATATGTAAATTACTTCGTTTAACGAACGAAGCACATAGTCAATATCTACTAAATTTGCAGCAGACATTTTACAGAACGTGAAGATGTCATGTATGGCCGAATGTAAATTGGTGGCAGTAAAATGTAACTTGTATATTGCGTAATCCTTAGAAAACCGTGTCATGGTGACAATAACGTCAATGTGACTGAAGGATAAGAACTGCTGATCGAGGATGTAGATTTAACAATTCCCACGTGTTCCACGTATAAAATACTCCTGGAACATGAGACATGCGATAGTATCCTCTCAATCAGATAAATCCCTAATGATTTAGTTAATAACAATTCGAATTTTATCTCTTCTTGTTGAAATAATTTTACGTTTCATGTTAAGTGTATCTTCCATTCTTACAGGAAATTTTCTGTAAAATATAAATACACCTCCACTATTAATCCTTGCTATTAATATATCTCTTTTTATAATACACCTATTTTATAATTTTTTCTAATTCTTCCTCTTAAAAAAAAAATGCTAATCACTGAGAAAAGAATCACAGCTGCAAGAATGTCCAATTAAATGAAAATATAAGAACTCTTACAAGGAACATAATTTTGTGACTATAAAACAGTAAGAAAGTACGCAATTGTTCAGAGATGTGAACATTTGTGCTGACTATCTACCATCAACTTCACCCTCGATTGATGCCTCGTAAATCTACGGAAGCTCCCTTACAGCTCCGTACAGGGCCCTTACAAGTTATTAGTTCCACGTAATAAATCTGAAGGTCGTATATGGCAAAATGAGCAAGGGCTGATACACGAAAAACCTGCCCAACGGCAAATGTTTTATACCGACACTTTCGTGACGCTGCTTTTCCGAGTATGTGACCGGAACTTCAGATACCACGTGGAGGACTGTTAATACAGTTGATACTGTGTGGACATAAGAGTTACTTCTCTTTACACGTGAAATAATCGTAAGATAATGTAACACGTTTAAAATAACACGTGTGGTTCCAACCAGTAACAACGATCAACTTAATGATCAAAATTATAGTTCAGAACACTTGTTCAATATTTAGAAAAATATATCATAACTTGTAGTTATTTTACAGTTACTTTGTAGTTTATTTTTTTTAAAAATAAAATATTGTAAAATAGGAACAAAATATTTACCATTTATTGTAGTAGTTCTTGATGCAATAAGTGCTTCAAGTTGAAAGTATTTTTAAATTAAAATACGCGGAGGAAGTAAAAACTGCCATACCTATCTTTAAAAAAAGAAGCCAAACCTTGATAAAAATTTTTTGTGAATTTTAAATAAATAAAATTGAATAACAAAAAAATATTAAAAGCACTTAACATCTCTGAAAGTAGTAAAACCAAGTAAGGATTAAACAAATACTTACACAAGTTTTTGAATTTATAAATGTTCTTCAAATATTGGGTCGAATACAAGGAATATTTCTGAGAGAACAATTTTATAAAATGCTACGAAATTTTTTCAGTAATTAGTACAATTAAATAATATTTGGCGCGTTAACAGTGATTCGAATAAGTCTAAGTTTTCACATTCATTAGGTAAAACATCACACACCAATTATACGATCACGATATTAATTAGATTATAACGATAAATAGGACGAAGATGCTAATATCGATTATAAGACATTTTCTTCCGTTACACTAGTTTTATTTAACAGCGCATATTTTCGACGTTGATTATATCCATACTAATTATACAGTTTTCTTAATCATTCGTTAATTTTGAAAGACCCTTAATGGATGATAAATGAGATCATTACGCTTATATATTTCTATTTCTTCTTCGTTAGAGATGAATTTTAACATCTACTTATTAACCCTTTCGCTGTTTGTATAATTGCGAACGATTGAAAGTTTTGTATTTTAAGAATCTCTGTGGTCTTCACGGCGTACACAGCGAAAAGGTTAAAATACTTGAATCGTTTATCCTATGGCAAATATTTAGACTGATATACGGAACGGTATACATTGACAAGAGAAATTCCGTGTACCAACGTGTGTAAATTGTCATTGTCATTTATTTCTGCGATAGATGTTACAGAGATGCTCAAATTATTAGACTAAGAACGAGAATTTATATTTCACAAAATTTGTTTACAAAAAATATGTCAGATAATTTAAATATTAAAACTTTGATCTGGTCTTTTGACAGAAAATTTATATAAATGAGATATATTTTATTTTATATAATATTACTTAAAAAATTGTTAAGAAAATATTACTAAAATACAAAAACTGTTTATACGTAAAAATTTAATATGATCAACTATATTTGTAAAATTTTATAATAAAGTTTGTTACTCAAAGTTTGAGTAGTTAGTCTTGGTTTAATTTTAATTGTTCAGTACAATATTTTGAACACCTCTGCATATTTTTTATCCGTGCAGTTGAACTCTATTTACCCGAATTAAATTCTATTTAACATTCGGTTAACTGATTTCACTACCTTAATTCTAAACTATTGCCTAGCGACGTTGCAGTTACATGAACACTTGTGTATATTGTATTATAGAATCGAATAGTCAAATTTTATATTCGAACACGTTTATTAAGACGTGAATTACCATCGTTTCTTTTTACTGTATTTTGAATTTTTAGTTTATAAGAAATTGATAAAATTGTTGGAAAATGTATGTTGGTTAGTGTATTTTTGTCAATTGTACGACTACGATTGTTTTATAAAATTTAGTGATTTTGTAATTAGAAATTAACCCTGTGTTCCATGATTTCTTTTTCTAAATTTCTTTCGTTGGTGTATCAATTTTGAATAGACTGAACAAGTTTTTGTATTTTTCATCCTTGAAAATGATAGTCATTTGATTTCATAAAGTAAAATTTGATTTTTAACATGATGTAAAAAATATAAAAATAACTGACAACTTCAAGTTTGAAATAGAAGAATTTTATGAAAGACTTGTTTGAAAAACATGCAAGTATAATTGAAATTGTGATAGAATATTATATTCAATATTTTTACAAATTATTAGTATTAAAAGATAAAGAATGATGTAAATAACTTGTGAACATATGGTGATCATTCAATTATTACATTTTTATCTAGTATTCCTTTTGATTTCTTTGACATTATTTTTTGTTTGCTGCACGTTAGTTTCTTATTTATAATTATTTCTTATAATTGATTGGTAACATGAGCAACAATTTTATCGAAAACCAGCACTGACATTTTTTAAGAATATCAGTATATTCATTCACATTTTATTTCAATTGCTAATAATTAGAATATAAGTTAAGACAACTTTGACAGTCATACAAGAAACATTTACAGAAAATTATAAGACTTAGGTTCATTAAAAGAAATTGCAAAAGAAACTGCAAAACTGATGAATTATTTGAGATCACCTTTTTGAAACTTGGTTCAATTTAGAAATGGGAAACTTTCAAATCTATAAATTTAGTAACTTAGAAATTAACAAAATTAAAAATTTATGGAATTTGAAAGTATAGAAATTTGGGATTCACAAGTTTCCATACTTGTAAGTTTACATAGTTTCAAGTTTCCAACTATTCCAACTTTCAGATCTTCGAAATTCTGTATTTGGAAATTCGGAAATTCAGAAATTTGGAAGTTTAGCATTAGAAACTTAGAAACTGGTCAATTTAGAAATTTACAAACATAGAAATTTCAAAATTAACAAATTGAAAGACGTCCATAAGCGTCCATTTGCACGTCCATGCAGCGCACTCTGGTGCTCACAATTCTAACCATCTCGATGATCTCAAACTTTCAATCAGAAACTTTGAAATTCAAAGACAATCTTTACAAAAAAATACATGAGTGTTCACAGAAGCAGTGTGAAATCCTGCAAAATTGGCAAAACATATCTGTGCAGTCTTAAGAAAATGTACGCACATTTTCCACAAAAATCCGACAGTATTCTCGCATAGACAGTTTACAAAGAAGTGCTCTAACGAATTAAATACAACGTAATCGATACAATAAATCCGTGTTTCCAAACTTTCTATGTACAATTATAGAGAGCGACCTGCTACGAATGAAAACATCTGTACAATGACAACAACAACAATAACAATAATAACAATAATACCTATAGGTCGTTCGGTAAAGAAGAGAGAAAGAAGAAGAAAAGGACATTGATCCTGCAATCTCTTTGGATCCTCACGAACGTAACATTACTAATAAAACGACAGTAACGCTAAATAATTAATACACGCATATGTACTTCTTTTTACAACATTAAACGATAAAAAATATATGTATAATTCTCGGGTATTATGCTTTAACGTCGAAGCATTTCGTTTGGTCGTACAATGTCTCCATTATTTTTTCAAGAAATTCTTCCACGACAGCCTTTCAGGAATTCTATCAGCTACGCACGATATCAACATTAAATATCTATCCTTAGTTACCTTATTGTTTATAAATATATGTGTATACACAATGTATATATATGTATATTATAATATGGACAAAGGAGACGAAATCTACCGTAAAAAGACTTTTACGAAATCGAATACGCCTAAGAAATACGAAATCGAATGTCGTCGACGGATGGTCCGGATATCACAAATTAATTTCTGTCTCTCGATCTTTGCTGTTTACAACGTATTTAACTTGTTGGTTAAATATCTAAATCTTTCTGTTGGTCGAAATCAGTTTTTCGCAGTGTTGAATTAGCTTTATGTAAATCTATTTCATTTTATTGAAGAAAGTGGTGACAGCTTTTAAGCTTGTACTCGATTTTAGTAAAAATGCAGTATGAATTATTATAATTTTTCATGAACTCAATTTAGAATAATTTTTTATAACATTCTATGAAGTATAATTTAGAACTTGTCATTATTCATTTTGTGAATTTTAAGCATTAGTCTTTTAATATTAATTTTTTAACCTGTAACTGACTGGATGAGGTTTATCAGACACTAAGAGTGCATATTGTTTCTAAACATGAAACTGATTCTTAAATAAAATTAAGTTAAGTTTGACTTGTAATATCATCATGATACAAAATTATTTATTTTTTAATTATATAAAATTTTTCAATTCCTCTTTCAAATCTTTCTGTTCACAGAACTAATTATTAAATTTTGAAACACTCTGCTTCCTCTGAAACGCACAAAATGGCTACCATATCAGTAAAACAAGATGGCTACCGTACCAGTTGCAGGTTAAGTAGAACCGGTTTACAAAATTTTCAATCAGTCCATTTAAAAATTATTCCAAACAGAAAATTTAATGAGATTACATGAACTAATAACACCAAGAATACTAATAACGACGAAATGAGAAAAACAGTAACTCTTTCAAAATCTTCAGACATCGATTGACAAATGTTCAAAGCGAAATTCGATCGTCCCTATGGTCCACGTATCACATGTCATTTCTTCGCAGATTATTTCTTTATCCAATTGCTAGCGTTTCGTATCTCTTGTTTCTTCATCTTCTGGTATATCGTTCATGGATACAGTAGTTCTCTGTGTAGACTCTGATTTTCTTCTCAACCTGCTGTCGTTCATGTTGATTCTAATATACCGCCGGCAAGTTTGGTCGCGTACAAATGTAATGCCTGAAAGATGAACAAATTCTTTTAAGCGTTTTATATTTATTATATAAAATTATCTATACACTTATTAGGTTTTATGAATTCAAGATAAAATTTGTAACACGACAACAAACTCTGCATAACATTATACTGCACTTTATACAAAAATTGTACATTTTCTCACTAAATCATAATTCACTTTCGTTAAATTATTATTCAAGATTTTCATTAAAATTATAACTGTCAATAAATCATGATTAAATTAAGCTTGCTTTAAATTGTAACTAAATTAAATTTTTATTACATGTCAACCAAATTAAGTTTTCAGTATTAAACTGTAACTAAATTCTAATATAAAATATAATTAAAGTTATCAGTAAGTGTCAATAGACTTAATGAACAATCAAAAACTGCTTCACCTACATCAGATAAAATCAAACTTTCACAACAAAAACTCAGATCAGATTTCCACAACAGAATGACTTAACAAAATATTAATTCGTCAACAATATTAATTCCGAAAAAAATAACAAATTATCCAGTAAGTTACTATTACAAGGTGTTTACTGGTAAATTACGCAGGAGCTCACCTTGTAAACAAAAGCGTATTGTTCTTTCGTCTGGACAGCTCCAGCACGGTCCCGTCTGATAGTGTAAACGACCCTTGGCACGTCCACAGTCCTCGTAATCTCATATTGTCTAATTCCTAGGTCAAGAGCTATTAACGTTCCCGTGCGTCCAGTGCCGGGACTACAGTGGACCACAATGGGTCCAGGGCCACCCCTTTGGAGTGCCCTTGCTTCCAGGAGCACGGCTATTAAACCTGCTCCGTCTGATTGTGCCCCGTTTACAGGCCACAAATACCAGATGTGGTACACTTCTCGGAACGTGTTGTTCTCCAAATTCTACGGACAGAAGATTAGTGGGTCAATGGAGAATATTCGACATATTTTGAGAAATTTGGAAATTATGTGATATTGGTATTTGGGAGTTTAGGAGGTTGAGGATTTGGAAATTTGAGAAATTCAAGAATTTGGGAGGTGGGAGCTTTGGGAATCTGGGGACGTGAGAATTTGGGGATGTGAGAATTTGGGGACGTGAGAATTTGGAGATGTGAGAATTTGGGGACGTGAGAATTTGGAGGCGTGAGAATTTGGAGATGTGAGAATTTGGGGACGTGAGAATTTGGAGGGAGAATTTGGTGACGTGAGAATTTGGGGATGTGAGAATTTGGGGACGTGAGAATTTGGAGATGTGAGAATTTGGGGACGTGAGAATTTGGAGGCGTGAGAATTTGGAGATGTGAGAATTTGGGGACGTGAGAATTTGGAGGCGTGAGAATTTGGAGATGTGAGAATTTGGGGACGTGAGAATTTGGAGGCGTGAGAATTTGGAGATGTGAGAATTTGGGGACGTGAGAATTTGGAGGCGTGAGAATTTGGAGATGTGAGAATTTGGGGACGTGAGAATTTGGAGGCGTGAGAATTTGGAGATGTGAGAATTTGGGGACGTGAGAATTTGGAGGCGTGAGAATTTGGAGATGTGAGAATTTGGGGACGTGAGAATTTGGAGGCGTGAGAATTTGGGGATGTGAGAATTTGGAGGCGTGAGAATTTGGAGATGTGAGAATTTGGGGACGTGAGAATTTGGAGGCGTGAGAATTTGG